TGTAGAACGACATTTCTGTTGCCTCGAGTCTCTTCTTCATATGTGAATCATTCACTGCCACAGAGGAGGATTGATAGTACATGACAATTCAGCACTCTTGGAGACCAATTTTTGAAAATTTTCGTAAGAATTTTAAAAGCCCCGCCCATGTGAGACCCTAAGCTGTAGCTTGTTTAGCTGAAACCTAAATCTATCACTGTTTCCAGTGTCTAGTCAGACACATCTATAGACATATTTGCATACACACACACACACTTATGGGATAGACAGAGAAAGGGAAAATAATTTAGTTACTGCTATCTGTTAAGTTAAAGTAAAGGCTAAGGTATTTTTATGCTTATATGGGACTTCACTTATATCCATTTCGCCTGTCATCACTTCGGAGAAGCTTTTAATATTGAATATTAAATGAGAGGACATCACTGAGAGTGATCTGCGCATGCGTGCATTAAACGTGCAGTATGCTAATTTGCAAAACGCTGTTATCAACTTATCATTTTCGTGCTTTTCAGGATAATGTTACATAATGAGCATGTGTAAAACATATGGTCGACGATTATCATTTAAAATAGCGATACTTTTTCGTTGAAAAGTAACACTGGAAAAATTGTATTTGTAGTTGACTCTGTTTTCACGCCTCTTTATTAATTTTGGCATTGATACAATTTGTGTATAGACAGGAACGATACATTTTTTTATTCTTACAATGACAAAAACGCTAAATGAACGGTAAATTGTCGCCATTATATATTTTTAATTTCACGCATGCGCGTTGTTTGTTTTTAAATTTGTCTACTATATAGAATTGTTGGATAGTTGGGCACAGGCTGTAATAAAAAAAAAGCACCATGATGCAATTCACTTCGCCAGAAATTTGGAAACGGCATGTTGTACTGTTTCACACACACACACACACACACACACACACACACACACACACACACACACACACACACACTAATCTAAAAAAAATGTACAATTTTCCTTTTACACAATTTGGACAATTTTGCTGTTACACCTGGTATATATATAATATACATATATATATTATATATATATTATATATATATCATTTATATATTATATATATATTATATACATCATTTATATATATTATATATATTATTTATATATATATATTATATATTTTATATATATTACACAAATATATTATATATATATATTACAAATATATAATATATATTGCATATATATTATATATATATATATTATATATTATATATTATATAAATATATATATATATATATATATATATATATATATTATGTATATATATTGAACAGGATGTCTTATCTAATTACACACACACACACACACACATATATATATATATATACTTACATATATATATATATATATATATATATATATATATATATATATATATATATATATATATATATATGTATGTATATAAGCAAGTGTAAATGGATATAAATCCGACAGAATGAAGAAATTTTGAAAAAACAAACAAAAATCCTTAAATGTAGTTAAATGAAAGAAATGTCGACGTCTGACGTTTCGGTTTATTAAACCTTTTTCAAGACAATATTCATCAAAATACAATTCAGTTCAATATGACAAATACGATGGACATAAAAACACAAGTCTTATTCAGAACAGATAACTGAAAATTTTTAAAATGATCAGCCTTCCGTCTAACATGGTCACGCTGTCGTCACATGGGCGACGCTTTCATAACGTATTCCTAAAAGTTTGTGATTATTTCTTTAATATTTCCCCTTTTTTTAGCGAGATTGATGCTCGACAAGCATACACATAAGAATTTTAGAACCTAATAGAATTCTTTTCATTTTCTTTTTTCTTTTCATTTCAAAATAATCACAAACTTTTAGGAATACGTTATGAAAGCGTCGCCCATGTGACGACAGCGTGACCATGTTAGACGGAAGGCTGATCATTTTAAAAAATTTTCAGTTATCTGTTCTGAATAAGACTTGTGTTTTTATGTCCATCGTGTCATATTTGAATTGTATTTTGATGAATATTGTCTTGAAAAAGGTTTAATAAACCGAAACGTCAGACGTCATTTCTTTCATTTAACTACATTTAAGTTTTTTGTTTGTTTTTTCAAAATTTCTTCATATTATGTATATATATTGAACAGGATGTCTTATCTAATCATATATATATATATATATATATATATATATATATATATATATATATATATATAATTTGATAAGACATCCTGTTCATTTTCATGGTATTCGTCTGCATATGTCGGTGTATAATAATATCATTCCCTATCCCAGAAATTTAGACAGAAATTATTTTGTTAACGTTTTTCTTTAATATACGTCATTATAAATATCATTAAAAGATAATCCATAAGTTATTCATTTCCTGAAACTTTCAAATTTTGTAAGCATCATCTAATGTGTCAAAATGGAAGGAAATGGAAGCAAGCATATTGGAACTTATTTCATGTCCATTTTCTAAGCAAGGGCTGACCTAGCGGCTTTGTGAATCAACTTAGTCATGTACACCTTCCTAATACACAAGACATGTTCTATATATGTTAATATATATGACGGGGCTACACAAGAGAGGAATGTCTTCTTCGAAAAAAAAAGTTCTTTCTTTCTTCGTATAGTGATTTCACGTCGTATCAGAAGTACTCGCTGTGATATAGTAAATGTTTTCTAGCTCGGGATGTCTCTCTTTCTCTCCATATATTAATTTTAAAATTCGCAGTTGGTATCAGTTTGTAGTGTACTGTTTATTTGGAGAAAGAAAGAAAGAGAATATGTTATGGAAGACTTATTGGGAGTTATGGGGAGAAGTAGAAGGCACCGTTACTGGAATCATGATGCAGGTAGGAGAGTCTGGTTAGGGGAGGGAAGGGGAGACCGATGAGCTGACCTATATCCTAATGGTCACAAGGTCAAAATTTAATTCGACGGGAATTCACGGAAATTAATGAAGACGTGAAAAAACAATCAAGAGCTAACTTTGGTAAAATGAAAATATATATATATATATACACACACACACACAGACACATATATATATATATATATATATATATATATATATATATATATATATATATATATATATATATATATATATATAATGTTCTGTGTGAGAAAGACAGATGAAATTTTTCAAGTTTGCCAAAACCTTTGACCGCACGTTATATTATTTTTTTCGGGAGTATGCTGATTGTGTTTGTGTGAGAAAACACGTGCCTCCTGGTATATTTTTCCCACTACATAAATGGCGAACTGAGAATGTGAGTCGCGGCAATAAATGAACAAATTATCTATATAGAAACCTACCATAAGTAGGTTTGAACAAAAGCATGGTATACATAGACACTTGAAGATTGTTGCGTGTTGCAAAGCAATGAATATGAATGAAGAAAACATGTAGACCAGTGAATTGTGCGCGCGCGTGTGTGTGTGTGTGTGTGTGTAATTTGGTTTAGAAAAAAGTCTTAGAGATAATGAAGTGAAAGGTGCGTACGTGTGCTGAAAGCATATATCTCCAATTCCTCGTTCGACCTACATCTTACCATCCCTGTGTGGAAAAGGAAAAAGAGGATGACAGAGAATGTCACTTTCTATTTATCGGCTTAGGGAACGTCCCCTAGCGATAGTTTTTTTTTTTTTTTAAGGAAAGTAAGTGGTGTAACTCCACATTATAGACAAGTCCAAAGATTTTTGTTTTTCAAAATCATTAAATTTAACAAACGCTCATAAATATTCATCGGGTTAGCAGAAACGTCTAGGTAACTTTTGAAGGACCCTAAGTGATATAATTGATATCTAATAAACGAAAGTAAGTAAAACATGTTCTTGATTTTTTTTTATGTAAATTAATATTTAAATTATTTTGGTTCGGGTTTAATTCATGCGTTATATATTTTAATAACATGAACTTATATATTTAAACATTTCTTTTTATTTTTTCATCATTTTCATATATTGTTCTTTTACAGATTTGTTCTATTTAAAATTTTACACACACACATTAAATTTAATATTTGCAATAAGCAAAATAGTATTCTATATTTCGAACGGAATTTTAAATTCATTGGAATAATTTTTTAATAGCTAAAAATAGCTGATTTTTGGCATAGTTACAACTTTTTAAATAATTTATGTCCTAAAAAGAAAGAATTATTAGAACATGTAAAAAAAATTAACCACAGCACATTGTCACACACACACACACACACACACACACACACACACACACACATATATATATATATATATATATATACATACAGTGTAACCCGGATATAAGATAGTTGTCGGGACCGGAGAAGAAGTCTCTTATATCCGGGTTTATCTTATATCCGGGTTTGGTCTATTTTATATACATTAACACAGGCTCTAATTTGGGACCAGAAAAAATCTCTCTTATATCCGGGTTTCTCTTATATCCGGATCTCTTATATCCAGGTTACACTGTATATATATATATATATATATATATATATATATATATATATATATATATATTGATAAAATTCTCTCGTCGAGAAAGACATATGAGGGTTCTGTAAATTCTAACATTTTAATGAACCTTCAGTGATCTGTTGCCTGCGCCGTGCAATGCAAACTCGCTCTGTGATAGCACCATGTCCTCTACTGGTACATCGTATGCCACACATCAGATGACGCTAAAATTGCAGGCGTTTTGGCAAGAATATGTGTTTTCCATCTCCTAACTGCATGCTGGTTGTTGGCTCGTATAAGAAGCTCATACGCCCTGTGCCAAACTAGTTTGAATTCAGAGTTTTTCCTTCTCCTAGATTGGTTGCAAACCAAGGCTGTAGAGTTCAGTATGTCCTGCTGTTTACCCATAACTGGATCAAGAAGAGATGTATTCAGAACTTTCCCAAGGGTATTAATGCCTAAGTGAATTTAACGAACTCGGCTGGAATTCGAACTCGGTTCTCCGAGTTCTTATTCCGAGCATTTATACATTATATGATCTAAGTTTACAGCATCTGGAATTCCCAAGCATTACTCATCTTGGTACTGACTAGGCTCAATGTTACTTAACTTCGGTGATCTGATGAGAATCAGTGTTTGAACGTGATATGACGCGCGCACGCGTATAGGGCAATTCGGTGTGGTGTAACGGTTAACAAGTTTGTTTCGCTGGATCAACAATTACGGCAGAGTTGTGAGTTCGATCCTCACTGAATGCTCTATATTATTGGCCTTATGTCATATCTAAGGTACGCTTAGTAAATCGCCATAACGCCACCTTTTGCGCCAGAGTAGTGAGTTCGATCTACACTGTTATGCCCCATACTATCGGCCTTGTGCCATATCTATGCTACGCGTAGACAATCGCCATATATATATATATATATATATATATATATATATATATATATAATACCACTTTTTGCGACATCTTACGGTCACATCACGTTGAAACACCTGTTCCCGTACGAACAAGCAACGTCGAGCCTGTTCACCAACGAGATGGGTGACCGTTTGGGAATACCAGGCGCTGTAAGCTTGGAAGTGCAGTGGTGTAATGGACAATGCCATCAAATTATTAATCAGAGAGCCGAGTTCCAATTACCGTTGGGTTCGTTATATTCACTTACGCATAAATACCTTTGAGAAAGGTATGAATCCACCTTTTCTCCCCTAGCTATGGGTTAATTAGCAAGGCTTGTATCACTAATATCATAATTATCTCCACAAAATTTTCTTATAATCTAAAAAATATTTTCTGACTTTAAATAACCTACAGAGTGTTGATAAGCTGTAAAAAAACGAATCCGTCAATCTTTTTGTGACAGCTATCACCTTGTGATCATTGAATCTACAAACCTCACACTTAGATTTTTAGAGGAGTTAAATTTGCCTATTTTTAGTAACATTTTTGAGCTTGTTATCATAATAAATACATCGAGTCAATTGCCTCGGCCACTGCGAGGAAAGTTGGCTCCCTGAGCCGCGCTAGGAAGTTTTTCTCCCCGGAGTCGATCCTTCAGATATACAAATCCACAATTCGTCCTTGCATGGAGTATTGCTGCCATATATGGTCTGGCGCCCCTTCTGTTTGCCTCGGGGATCTTGATAGGCTCCAGAGGCGGATATGCAATATGGTTGGCCCTGCCCTGGCGTCTCGTCTACAGTCACTTCCTCACAGACGCGCCGTCGCCTCCCTTTGTCTGTTCTACAAATACTTTCATGGAAATTGCTCCGAGGAGCTGCATTCGCTTGTTCCCAGACGTCATGAGTTCCAGCGCCCTACGAGGCTGGCATCCCGCTCCCACCCCTTCACTGTCGAAACTCCTAAATGTAGCTGTCTCTTCTACTCTAATAGCTTCATGTTTCGCACCTCCCGCCTGTGGAACTCCCTTCCCCTCTCCTGTTTCCCTGTGAGCTATAATCTCCAGCTATTCAAGTGTAATGTCAATCGACATCTCCAGTTGCCTTGATCTATCCACTACCCTTCTCCTCATCCTTTCTATCATTCCTATCTGATCTTGCTCTAAATTTTCTGTAACCCCTTGCGTCCTAGTGGCTTCCCGCCTTGCTTGGGGTGAAATGCTTAAAAAAAAATCTCCCATTGCTTCGTTTCCAATGATAAATTGTAAACAAAGGACATTAGTAGAGTAATGTAAGCAGAAAAGATCCTTCTACCGTATACCAGTCCTGCGCTAGTTGTATGGTCAAGCAAAGTGGGAGAACCAAGAGAAAAGAGGGGCTGAGTGAGCAAGAAAGGTTTAAGAAAGTGATGCTTCTTTATATTACTTACATTGTTCGGACTTTTGTCTTCATCTTTATTGCCAAATTCACGACGTTTCGACCTTCTGATATATGTTGTAATTCCGAAATTCCAACAATAAAAATAAGGACAACAGTCCGAACAATGTAAATAGTGTAGAGAGTTACAATACCTCTTCTCAGATCTATAAAAAAAATGCTGCTTCCCGTTCTCAACATGAAGATAGATTTAGTAAATGTGATTTTAATTTCTATGAATAAAGAAGAAAAAGTACTGAATCTTTTTTTACAACAAAGATGTTTAGAGGAGTTAAATTTGCCTATTGTTTTGTTCCATACTTAATTTGTGATGGTATTTCCCTCTGTTCTTCTTTTACTTTCTATATGCCGTGTCCTTTCAGGACGTAGGCGATCATGGTTCTCCACCTCTTCCTCTATCCCTTGCAGCTCTCAACAAGTTCCTTCACTCTGCTACCTCCCCCCCAGGCCACGTTCTGTCATCCACTTGCTTAAGACCGCTAGGTATGTCATGCGTTGTTTTCCCTTGTCTCCCTTTTCCTCTATTTGACCCGTGAGTATCAGATTCTCCAGGCCCTCTTTCCTCATTACGTGTCCCAGGAACTTCAGCTGCCTCTTCCTGATGTTAAGTATAAGCCTCCTCCTTGTTTGCATCTTCTCTAAGACCTCATCGTTGCTCAAACGCTCGGTCCATGATATCCTCAGCATCCTTCTGTAGAACCGCATCTCCGTCGCCTCTAGTCTCTTTTTCATCTTTGAGGAAATCGTTCAACATTCGCTGCCGTAATGGAGGACCGATTTCACGTAACAGTGCATTAGTCTTTTCTTCGTTACCAAAGAAATCCTCCTTTTTTTCCCATATGGAAATTTGTATTTTTATTGATATAATTTTCAGTAAGAATTACCTCTTAGTATCTGTAATACTTAATATATTTCACATTGCTTCCCAAGATGCTATTGATATACGGAATACTTTTAGAGAAGTACAATATTGTTATTTTCTATTTTGAAATCATCCACATTGGCTTTTTCTTGCACTAATTAACTCCCTTGTTCTTTTACTCTTTATAACCGGTGATCGCTACACTAATGCTTTCCTCAGAGCTTCGTTTTTCCAGGATATACCAACCAAGCAAAGGCTTGCTGCTTCCCGACTAGACATTCCCAAAGACAACAAACAGGCCGTAATGATTTGCCGTATCGTGTGACTGCAGAGGTTCACAGGAGAATTCCCAGCTGCCTCGTAAGTTGTCCAATTATTTCACGACTCAGCCCCTGAGACCCCGCCATTACTCCACGCTCCAATTGTCCATACTTCCATCTTTTTTTTTTTTTTTTTTTTATAACTCAAAAAACAGACACACACACGCATATATGTGTGTGACTTTAATGGAAAATGTAAGTTTAAGAAAATGCTTTAAATCTCCGACAAATCTAATTTTATTTGATGTAAGTGTTTTGAATTCTGTGTATTACTAAGGGAGAGACTGTAACTATTCTGTTTTTTGAAATTGTAATTTTTTCCCCTAGTTTGTAAGTTCTGATGAAGTCCTGTTAGCTAGACTCGCTTACGAATAAGTAATTTGTGAGCCTGCAAAACCAGAAAGATAAAGAAAGTTATGAAACTAGAGATCGATGAGTTGTACTAAACTAAACACAGATGACAATGGTCCTTTTTGCTCCATTTTCAGAATCCAATTTTTTTTTATTCTCGAAGAATGTGATAATGCGCATCTCCAATCAAATTCTTTAAACGTAAATTTAAATATATCGGACATTAATCCACTTAGTCAATTTTGGTTCTTTTTGCCAATATTTGTTATTTTTACTGTAAGTTACAAATGTAACAATCAGCCACACATGCTGAGCAAAACTATATCTGTCTACGCAAAATATACTCAAAGTAATGTTTTCCATTGTTATTTATCATTTATTAAACGCCCACCAGCCATTATGCCAAAAAGGAACAAACACGGAAGATAAAACAACGCGAACCGCTAAGAGAATTGGAGTAATCAAAGCATTAGAAAAACGTTTAATGCAGTGAAACAGGTACATTATACACAAGTTGTCATCTGTTCAACTTGTATTCTGGTCTCTTTGAAAACATCTGAATTTTTAGCATTGACTACCGAAAGATGGAGAGTGCTTCACTCCTTTACTATACGCTGTTAAGATTTCCGTATAGTCAGACGATAGGTTGAGTTTTTAATTGATCTTCTAGTGCATTTATGCTGGCTTTTTAGTAAAATATTTTTCTAAATTTATTTGAATTTACTATTCTAAATAACTATTAAATCAAGTTTCAGTTGAAGAGAAGATATTTTTTAAGCCTATTTGATCAAGGCATATTTTTAATTTCCGAAAATCATTTTGGTCAAGCATTTTTATTTCAAGCGAAACAAAAAGATAACTCTATAATAAAGGAAACCTTTTCAACTGCAAAATACTAGTTTTGCTTGGGTTTTTTTTTTTTTTTTCAAATAGTCATCACTAATGTCTACGCATTTTCGCTAGCGATGAATATCGGCCTGTCTTCATAAAAAAATATGCTTTGTTTTATTAAGCAGACCAGCTGAACACAGTAGCAGGAAATCGTTTTTGCTGTTATTATAATCTTTCTGAAACTGGTATACTGGCTAGTTTTACCGGAGCTGACTGGTACTGTAGTTAGTTATATATATATATATATATATATATATATATATTGTCCTCTGTTCCAAGCACATTTCTGAAGTCATTTCCGTATTGATAGTTATAAATCGAAGAAGCAACCTTTTGTAACAGGGCTTTTACTTCCACAATCGCACTTAGATGAAGCCTTAAATTTTTTTTCTTTCACTTTTCCTCGGAGTGAATTATTGCCAGTCGTTAAGTCTGGACTTCAGAAAGGTCATGCCATGGTAAATTCATCGTTCACTAAATTTTAATCAGAAATTATTATTCGGGTATCCGAATATGCCAGTGCCCAACCCTGTTGAATTACTGACACCTCGTGCAAGTTATGAAGTAAACGATTACTTGAAGCCTGGTCAAGTGATATTTAATTAGACTCCCACGCGAACGAGATGCGGCACACTGCCAATTTTTAAACGCGGGGAAAATTCCATATTGCCGCACGCGTCGGGGTACTGCCACCACTTTTTTTTTTTCCTCTTTTTTTTTTTTTTTTTGAACCAGGAAGGTACTGTAATGGGAAGATACTTCATGGATGACTGATTTCCAGGAACATTTTATTTATTCTTTTTTTAAAAAAACTTTCTATCGTCACAATCTTTTTTTTTTTTTTTTTTTCAATGCACATTGGTGTGGCTTCTGCTGAAATACAAAAC